CGCAACTACTTCATGCTACAAACCAATGGAGAAACAGCAACATCGACGAACGTCTCCGTATTCGCATCGAGCAACACCTCGACATCCTCACAGATCGACATTGTCAATCCTGTTCTTCCTGTCACCTGTGACAGGAAGAAACTTGCTTTTTTTTTAAACAACGCAATCTGTTGGACGTAATAACAACACACTGTAATCTGCGAAAGTTCTTTACCGGTTGCTTTGAAATTTTGACTCATTGTTACATTTGAAAAGGTGTGTCTTTTTATATGCCTACTATATAGATGCCACCTCTGTGACAGGTAAAAACATGCGTCTTTGAAAAACAGCGCCATCTGTAACACATAATACCAACATGCACGCCATACTGAATATGTCAAGAATTCCATTTCAATGTTTCCGATTGCATTGATAAATTTTATTTTCATTGATTTCGATTTATTTTATTTTTTATTGAATTATTTTGTGTAACAGTGTTGGAATTGAGCTGTGTTGTTTACCATACCGTTCATTTCGTAAGTATATGTATAGATCCCACACCTGTGACAAGTAAAATTATGTTTTTCTTGAAAAACAGTGCCATCTGTTGCATGTAAGAGCAACACACATGTTATACTCTGTTGCAATTCCATTTCAATAATTCTGATTGCATTGATAAATTGAATTTTCATAGATTATGGTTTATTTTCATTTTCATTTAATTATTTTGTGTGAATTGCGTTGGAATTGAGCTGTGTTGTTTTCCATATCGTTCATTTTGTGAGTATAGTTTTTTTTCATATTTTCATTCATTTTTAACTGTTTTTCTTATATTTCAGTGATAAGAACATCAAATCACTTGATGTTCCCAATTTTCTGATGGGAACATCAAGGGCCAGATTCAGGTAGCAGTTACGCAAGTACTTACGAACGCGTACATCTTTCCTCAATCTTCGATGGCTTTGTTTACATTTATTAAACAGTTTACAAGCATGAAACCTTGCAAATACACTGTTGTTATTGCTATAAACAGCCTCTTAGTACTTCGGAGCTCATTAACTGTTTAATAATTGTAAACAAAGCCACCAAATATTGAAAAAGACGTACAGGTTCATAAGTGTTTGCGTAACTTGTTTGTGAATCTAGCCCCAGACAATTTGGGAAGGCATCGAACGAGGGAGTGGGGAATTGTGGGGGATGACGAGGGGACGGAAGTGAGAGATTGTGGGGAGGACGAGGGGACAAGGGAGGGGGAAATGGTGGGGAAGGACGAGGGAACGGGGGAGTTTGGGATGGTGGGAACGAGGTGATGGGGGAATGGAGAATGGTGGGAGGCCAAAGGGACAGGGGAGTGGGGCATGGTGATAAGGAAGAGGGGATGGTGGAGTGGGGAATGGTTGGGAGGCCGTGGAGACGTGTCAGGGGGGAATTGTGGGGAGGACTGGGGGACAGGGAAGGTTGCTGTGGCTTAGCAACGCACATGTGTTGCTGAGTCACAGCAACGTGTGGCCGGGTACTGCTAGCATTAGTATATTTTGGTAGCAGTCTTTCTTGAAACATATGTTGTTGAATATGACCGAAAGGGTAAGATTAATAATTCTAACACGAATCTACTCAATATTTCTTACGTTATTCACTATCCAGGGTAACTGAAAAAATAACTCTCAAAAATTCATTCTTCCTTTTTGGTCTGACGCCTGAACGCGTTTCATAATGCTTCTTACATTTTCAAAGACTAGTTTATACATAACATACATCATACTTATACTAGTTTTGGGTGAGGTGATATTGCACAAAAGTTTAGAGTGAGGTGACAAAACTATGCCCGAACATGAATCAATGGGTATGAAAACATAAGAATGGAAGTAACTGCAGAAGGCCGATTGGCCCATACTTTCTCCTGCTGCTTCTTTGTTGGTTCGGGGGTCTTGAAGTGGGTAGAATATAGTTGGGCATTAATTGGCTGCAGCCAATTAATGCACATTGGATTGCACAGTAAGGTCATTGTGCAATCACTGTGCATCACGATCACTGATGGTCGAGGGGATAAGGTTCCATGTACACCAGTTGCATTGTGCTCTTGGAGGTCTAGGTTCGAGTCACTTCTGTGGTGTGGAGTTTTCAGTTGCCATAAGTCAATCAATTTCTTTGGAGACTTCAGGCTAAAAGCACAAGGTACATAAGGAGTCAGCAGGCAGTTGAGTCACTTAGCCAGTCTGTATGTGGGTGTGGATATCTGGCTGATGATTGGCCCAAGTGGGTTTCCAGGCATGTGGATCTTAACATTTCCACATGCATAACCAGGATTGCATTCCCCAATAACCTTCGGCAGGTGGAGTCCGGATTTCTTGGCATTCACAGTTTGGATCAATCTTTACCTTTGTTTTCAATTCGGCTGTAGTGTTCTTCGTTACCCTTTGGAATTTACTTTATTCGGAGAGTATGAGATTCATTTTTGCCAGATATTCGTCTTTTTTATGAATAACGTATATTGGCGACTTGTCACCTCTCCGGACGACTATCTCCTTATTTTCACAAAGGCTCTTAGCTGCCGCTTTGAGCTCGGCGGACAGTATGGTGCTTCTGTAGTTGCCTCGAATCTTTCCTCCTTCTGCAATAAGTTCTTCTTGCAAGGTATCATTTGAGATAACCTTCTTTTGCGTCTCGAGGTCGAATATGTCGTCCAATAGGATCTCTAACTCCACTTTCCGGGCCATCTCACATGGTCTGGACATAACGTAACAGTTTATACCCAGATTTAGGAGAGTGATTTGGTCCTCAGTGAGGTTTATTCCAGCAAGGTTTAAGAAGCCATCTCTGGGTCGAGGAATCGCCATAGGTCCTCCTAATAATGTTGTCAGTTTTTTTTATGATCCTGGTTTCGGTGCTGTGGCGATATCAATCTGTAAGGATGACGAGGTGTTGGTCAATTCGAGTACGGAGGTCTTCGTCGATGTTGGTGTTTCTCCATTGATCTGTATCATGGAGTAGTAGGTCTTTGCTATCGTTGATCTCATTTTCTGCCTTGAGTATCTGATTTCGAATCAGATCTTGGCGATATTTTTTCATGAAGGCTTGGTTTCTTGCTGCTCAGTCGTGCGTTTTAATATAAGTATATTTTGGTAGCTTTCTTTCATGTAAACATATGTTGTTGAATATGACCGAAAGGGTAAAATTAATAATTCTAACACGAATCTTCTCAATATTTGTTACGTTTTTCTTCAATGTCGAGGGTAATTGAAAAATTAACTCTCCAAAATTCATTTTTACATTTTTATTTATGGTCTGACGCTTAGAAGCGCTTCACAAGACTTCTCACATTTTCAAAAATAATTTTTTATGTACTCCGTTTCATGCTCATATTTGTTAGGTGAGGTGATAGGAAACAAATCAAAGGTTTGTTTGGTAAATAACCATGGGGGTATATAACCATGGGTATACATTTTATCTGCTTGATTCTGTGCTATTTTTGGGTCTTGAAGTGGGAAGAATGTAATTATGTGTTAATTGGCTGTTAATTGTTGGTATTGACTTTTTGATGTGTAGTACCTCATTGATGTTGAGTCTCCTGTTATCGTTGTACCTGTTGATAATTTCTGTGTTGCTTGTTAAGATTTCTTTGGTGATGGACTGGTTGTGTGAGGAGACTATATGCTCCATGATGGAGCCCTGTGGTTTGTGTATTGTTAATCGCCTAGAAAGAGACGGTGTTGTCTTGCCTATATACTAAGATATTTGAGCTGACAGTCCCCACGTAAGCAGCAGTCCCCCAAGTAAGCAGCCCCTAGGTACAACGATAACAGGAGACTCAACATCAATGAGGCACTACACATCAAAAAGTCAATACCAACAATCAACAGCCAATTAACACATAATTACATTCTTCCCACTTCAAGACCCAAAAATAGCACAGAATCAATCCTGAGCTTGTAAAAGCACCTTCATCACCTTCAGTGATTAAGTGCTTAATTGCACACTAGTTTCTTTATCAGCTACCTCACCCTGTCAGAGTAAATGAGACAAATGTAAGTGAATGCATGTGTGTGTGTGTGTATATGTGTGTGTGTGTGTGTATGTATATGTATAGGTATAAAGTATATATGGAAGCTGATCAGAATTACATTTAACCTTTGTGAATGTACATTAATGACACTATGTAAAAGACACATCTAACACTTTATGTAGGGCATACGTAAATCTGTGTATCTATGTATTTACATATGTAGGTTAGCTTAGCTTTTTAAAAGCACCGAATCACCTTCTGTGGTTGAGTGTTCAATAAACCCTTGAACTATATGTTTAACACTTCTCTAACCGTGTCCATGGAGGACAGAAGAAAATGTATATATGCTGGTTAGCATTGTAAATGTGTGGCCACGTCTGTGATAGAAAAAAAAAAAAAAAAAAAAAAGTCCCCAAGTGGGCATGTGAAGGCATAGTCGACGTTGATATCTTTCAAGGCGTTTTGTTTTGTGTCTGGGGAGTTCTTAATATATAACGAACACTGCATCCATGAAGGAACACAAAACAACGGAAGTTAGCTTCCACACTCCGTGACGTCTCGCCAGCAACTGACAAATCTAAGACAGTGAGAGGCAGGCATGCTGATGAAAGAAGTCATCGGAATGGTCGCTTCAAGATACTTTAACCGTAGGGCGTCGTCGATTTTCGTGACGTCAGAAATAATCCAATCGCCAACTTATTTGATGCAAAATATTGAATTTCACATTGTTATAGCATGATAATATATCTATTGTTCAAAATTATATCTCCCAACATTGTTAATTGCTTTTAGTAGTCCTGGATATTGGTATTAGATGAGAATGACTCAAAGGAAGTCAAGTGGACTACTGGATCGCAACAGACCACATACCACACCACAGTTGTTGTTTTAAAATTTCGTTACTCAGAACACGATGTCCATGTAGCACGGGCTATAGTGAGCCCGTAACCACACCACAATATGACACAATTTATACAGTCACTGCTTTCTGAGCTCCTAAACTCGCTTCACTTGTCCTTTAGGTACCAGCTGCACGTCACCATTCCACGATGTGGGAGGACGCTGCCTCTATGTTGACGTCTCGAACACAGGCAGCTGGGATACAATGCGCACCCACTGTAGGAGTCTTGGCGGCGACCTGGCCATCCTGAACGACGCTGAAGTGTACTCCTCCCTCATCCGCTACATTCACGGCAGCGGTATGTTTACGTCCTCGTCAATATTTATGTTCATGTTACTGATTATGGCAAATTCCAGTAATGAAAGTCCCAGAAAGTTACAGAAATTACAGTCAGTGATTACAGTAATAGTGTGTGTTTTACACACTGGTATGGATGTTTCCTCGTAGGATTAGTGTTGCTGTCCAATACAGAGATGGTGCTAATGCAGGTACAGACTTTTCATATGTTACACAATAAATAAGATTCCTTAGCATAAACAAATGGGAGACTGAATTCATAAAACAGGAGTGAACATTTTCCTCTCAAGTTCGAATCCTAATGGGCTCATTGCTTATAGTGGTTTACGACTTGGGGAACAATGAAGCTTTGGAATGTGTGTATATATATATATATGTCGTACCTAGTAGCCAGAACGCACTTCTCAGCCAACTATGCAAGGCCCGATTTGCCTAATAAGCCAAGTTTTCATGAATTAATTGTTTTTCGACTACCTAACCTACCTAACCTAACCTAACCTAACTTTTTCTGCTACCTAACCTAACCTAACCTATAGAGATAGGTTAGGTTAGGTTAGGTAAGGTTGGTTAGGTTCAGTCATATATCTACGTTAATTTTAACTCCAATAAAAAAATTTACCCCATACATAATGAAATGGGTAGCTTTATCATTTCATAAGAAAAAAATTAGAGAAAATATATTAATTCAGGAAAACTTGGCTTATTAGGCAAATCGGGCCTTGCATTGTAGGCCGAGTACGACGTTCTGGCTATTAGGTAAAACATATATATAATATATATATATTTATATATATATATATATATATATATATATATATATATATATATATATATATATATATATATATATATATATATATATATATATATATATATAGAATATAGTTGTGCATAATATTGCACAACTATATTCTACCCACTTCAAGACTCCGCTCCAATATAGAAGCATCAAGAAATATGGACCAATAGGCTTTCTACAATTACTTCCATTCAATACCCATTGTTTCGTGCTCTGTCTTGTGTTTGAATTTAATACCCATTCAATACCCATTGTTTCGTGTTCTGTCTTGTGTTGGAATTTAATACCCATTGAATACCCATTGTTGAAAGTTCGTTTTTCACCTCATCCACCTCACCCAAATGTAGATATAAACCTCGAAGATGTGTAAGCTCTATTCAGTATCAGTTGTGTGTTTGTAAACTAAAGTCTTTGAAAATGTAATAAGTTTTACGAAACGCGCTCAAGTGTCGCGTCAGACTAGAAATAAAAATGAATTTTGGAAAATTGATCTTTGAATTACCATCAACAGTGAAAAGAAACGTAAGAAAAATCGAGAAAATTCGTGTTAGAATTAATATATACATATATATATATATATATATATATATATATATATATATATATATATATATATATATATATATATATATATATATATATATATATATATATATATATATATATATATATATGTATATATTCGAGGTGGCAGCCGTAACAGTCGGTCGTGCAGGGGGTTGGGTCCCACATTTGTGCCCATTCAACAAGGATAACAGTGCCTGAGGAAGTCAAGAATCGACTCATGTCTGTGTTAATACCTGCTGAAGACTCTTAGTGGGTCGAGGAAGCCTACCTCTCCAGCAGTGCAACAGAATCAACTGTAAAAGGTGTGTTGTCCTGGCGGGAGGCGTGCTATGGAGGGGAAGGACACAGGCCTGGGTGAGGGTTATCTCAGTGCCTCCATAAACAACAGCCTCCAGGCGGGGAGGAGGCCTCATGTGGAGGAGGGGGGGAGTGAAGGGGAGGCTCACAAACCTGCTTGTATTCCAGCAGTCTTATAAGTGAATGTGTGCGTCTTTTCAGATGAACGGTGTGTTTGTAGTGATAAACATAATGCACCTGTGAAACTTTGTGCTAATTGTGTGTGACCGGGATACCTTCTCCCCCCCTCTCCCTAGCCTCCCACAGGCCTCGCCAGCCCACCCAGCTACCCTCTCCCGGCGGCTGACCCGACGACCATCGTCCACCCCACGACCACCGTCACCCCACGCAACCCTACGCCCACCGCCACCCCACGCCCACCGTCACCCCACGCAACCCTACGCCCACCGCTACCCCACGCCCACCGCCAGCCCACGCCCACACACGCCCTACGGCTCCCTCACCAGGAAAGGGTGGAAGGAAAGGGTGGAAGGACACATGTGGTGGGGTCAAGAGACTGGGTCACCAGTGTGCCAATAAGTGCTTGAAAAAGATAAGTTGAGTCCAGTCCTGTGGTGACTGGACCATTGTGAGTATCGTGTTGAGAGCACCACACCCAGTGAGCCAGGACACATTCACCAGTGTTTAGTGACAAAAAGGAAATTATCCAAGTCTTACGTGCCACATCAACCCTCCCCTCACCCCCTGAGTGTAGTGCCTCCCCCCACCCCCTGAGTGTAGTGCCTCCCCCACCCCCTGAGTGTAGTGGCCCCCCCACCCCCTGAGTGTAGTGTCTCCCGCTCGACCACTCCACCTGTGTAGTGTCTCCCCCCCCCCTCCGTGTGGTGCAGTGTCTTCCGCTCCCCCGCCCCCACCTCCCACGATCAGGTGGTCGCGCCTTCCCTCCCCGGCCCCCCTCCCAGACCGGGCCAGCGCGCAGCCTCCCAACCCCCACCCACCACCTCCACGAGCCCACCCACCCCAGACATCTGCCCAGACATGACGCATAGTATAGGGGACAACCTCGTCCCCCCCAGCCAGGAGGGAGAGACAAATACTCCAGTGCAAGGTGACATTCACTTTACCTAAGGGGATGGCAGAAGAAGCCGCTACCAGCCAGCTCACCCCTCCCGAAGCCAATCAAAGGAGAGGCACATGCAGTAGTTGTGGGAACATCGTCAGCATCAACTCTGTCTCCAGAGTCATACGCCAGCATGGTGACTGTCCTGGGTCAGGGAGGCCTCCCGTGGGAGGAGGCAGCACTCAGGAGCCTGTTGCACCAGTACAAATCGCAACAGATTACATTGCAACAGACGACCTGCTAGAGGCAATTAAAGCAACGTCAACCAGGACACTCACCCACATCCCAAAGGCCTCTCGCCCTTTTGCTGCAGGGAAATACACGGACCTCATCGCAAAAGTCAACAGAGGGTCAAATAACCTTGTTGCACTTGATACCATCAAAGCCTGGCACAATCTGTTACTTTTTGGCAATGCATGCTTAGGTGTACCAGACAGAGGAGGCAAGACACTGGCCTCATCCGTCAATAAAGCAATTAGGGATTTTCCGAGGGCTGACAACCTAGTCCGCCTCCCCAAACACACCAAACACCGCCGAGGCAGACCAAGTACGACAATCAGCGACAACAGAAAATTAGGTACCCAAGTCAGCAAGAAAATTGAAGAGGGCAATACAGTCGGGGCACTCAGGTTAATCACAAGTGAGGACAAAATTTTGCCCAGGGATGAAACCACAGCCCAAGCACTGAGAGAAAAACACCCCGTCAGGGCCGTAGGTTGACCTCCCCACAGGTCAGGCTCGCCCCTAATCAGGAACCTCTCGTCCTCCGGGAGTCAGAGGTTTATAAAGCTATCGTTTCATTTCCCCCGGGCTCCTCAGGAGGCTACACAGGGGTAAGACCTCAACATGTGAAGGAAATGGTGAACCCTGTTCTTGGCCCAGCTGCAGAAGCGCTCCTGACAGAAATCACAACGTTTGTCAACAACTGCCTCGCCGGGTTAATCCCTGATGAAATCAAACCATTCGTCTTTGGTGCATCCCTATGTGCCCTCAAAAAGAAGAGGGGAGGAATCAGACCCATTGCCGTTGGTAATACCCTTCGCCGCCTAGTTGCAAGGGCTGCTGTCAGAAGTATCCGAACGGAAGCAGCCACCATGCTGCAACCCAACCAGCTGGGGTTTGGAGTCCCCCAAGGCTGTGAAGCAGCGGCTCATGCTGCACGAGCCTACATTAGCTCTCTTACTGAAGACCAGGCAGTAGTAAAATTAGATTTTAAAAACGCTTTCAACTCGGTCAAAAGGGAAGCAATCCTCACTGCAGTCCAGGAACATTGCCCAAGCATTCTCCCGTTTGTGTCAGCAGGCTACAGCAAAGACTCAACCCTCCTGTTTGGCAAACATAAAGTCACCTCAGCAGAGGGAATTCAACAGGGTGACCCACTTGCACCGTTCCTCTTTTGCATAGCGGTTCGAGAAATTACAACCAGACTGTCCAGCGAGCTCAACATCTGGTTCCTGGATGATGGCACTCTGGCAGGCACACAAGATTCCCTGCTAGAAGACTTACAGCTGGTGAAGACACGGGGGGAGTCCATGGGTCTCGTTCTTAGCCCCTCCAAGTGCGAAATTATTGCATCTAGTGAAGTAATCATTAGAGCAGTGAAATCAGTTCTACCAGAAGCCTCAGTCGTTAAACCTACCGACAGCACACTACTCGGAGCACCTCTGGGCCACAATGCCATTGCTGCGGTCCTTGACGAAAAGTTTAGAGACCTAAAGAGGATGGAAGAGAGAATTGGGGACTTGGACTCCCACGATGCCCTCTACCTTCTCACAAAGTGCCTTACCCTGCCCAGGCTAACATACTTCTTAAGGTGTGCACCAACTTTTGGCAACCCACTTCTAAATCAATATGATGAGCTCCTCAGGTCAATATTCAGGAAGGCGCTCAACCTAGATTTAGACGACAGTCAGTGGGACCAAGCAACACTACCAGTGAGATTTGGAGGGATAGGCATACGAAAGGCAACTGAGGTAGCACTTCCAGCATTCTTATCCTCATGTACAGCAGCCAACGAATTGGTAGGGCAGATCCTACCAGAGCGTATGAGAGAGACAGCGGGAACTCATGATCAAACGTTCATCGAAGCAGCCAGACAATGGGACACCATTGCACACCCTCAACCCCGACCACAAGTCCCAAAAGACCACAAGCAGGCCCACTGGGATAGCCCCATAATGGAAAAGACTGTCACAGCAATGATTGACAACGCTGATGC